TCTCTCCCTCTTCTGTTTCAGTGCAGTATACACAATTTATCCAGTTTTTCTCAGTCTTACCCTAACCCTGATATCAGTCCCATTTTACAGCAGTGGTACCATGCAGTATTTGTCCTTTTGCAACTGAGGTATTTCACTCAGCATAATGTCCTCCAGGCTCACACATTTTGAATAATATTGCATGAATTCCTTGTTTTTCAATGCAACGTAGTATTCCATTGTGTGAATATACCACAGCTTCTCTGTCCATTTGTTTGTTGATGGGCACCTGATTTGTTTCCAGCTCCTTGCTATGTGAACAAAGCCACAATATACATGGGTGTGCATATATCTGCTTGCATGTCAGTTATGATCTCTTTGGGATATATTCCCAGTACTGGAATTGCTGGGTCAAATGGTATCTCTATTTGCAACTTTTTGAGAAAGCACCATACCGCCTTCCACAGTTGTTGCACCAATTTGGACCATCTTCCACTTAGGAGACATTAGTAGAACCATTTCATCCAGATTTTTCATATTATAGACCAGGGACTGGCATACTTTACATATACAGGATTATGTCCATAGAATTAGTTCGTGATAGGACCAGCATAAGAAGCCCAGATTTTTAGATCATTCACTGTTACCCACTATGTATATTATATAGAGAGCTCTGGTAGCCTGTAGGGAGTTGCATTGCTGACCTAAAGATGGCGCCTCAAATCCACCAGTGGCTCCAAGGACTGAAGATGGATATTCTTTTCCCATGTGATTTACAGCCTCCAAAACCCCTCTTTAAAACCATCCAAAACCCGTCTTTAAAACCTCCAAAACTCACCTCTAAGTCAGTTCTGACTACACTACAATAAATTACTTTTGCTTTTGATTTATGTTCTATAAATTTTATTATCTTTTACTTGCCATTCAGTAATTAGGTTGAATTTTTGAGCCATAATAAACCCACTTTTTATTGCCTCTAAACTTCCAAGTTTTTTAATTCTTTGTGATCATTTTTGTAGCTTGAGTTTGAAGGACAGTATAAATAGTAGTTTAAATGCGTAATTCACGGAGTTGGCATGTTTATATTAAGATAGTGTGTTAAAATTTCAGACTTCTTATAGAAGCTTCTTTTTGTTTTGTTTTATTTGTTGTTGAGATGTTTACTTTAAGATTTTTATGTGTACGCTTTAAAACTTTTGTAACTGCTTGGCCTTGATAACATTATTCTAGACTAATCTGTTTTTAGGTTTTTGTATTGTTTGTATTTTGCAATGTACTTGAAATGCTTAAGGTAAATGTTCTTTTCTGTGTGCTTAAAAGTAAATTGTCTTCATTTTCAGGACGCATGGGAATAAATTTTCACCATCCAGGAACTGATAATATTATGGCCCTTAACAGTAAGTCTACATTTGAAATATTCTGTAAATTAACAGTCAAGTTGACAGCATGTGGTTTCCACTTTTCTTTTTCTATTTTTATTTCTACTTCACTGTTCATGATGTTTAAGTCTTCTACTAGATTAGTGTAGACCCTATTACTAGTGTTTCTCCAAATGTTTCAGACCAGCAGCATTGGCATTACTTAAGAGTTTGTTAAGAAACAGATTCTCAGATCCTACTTTAAACCTGTTCAATCACTTTAAGGTTGTATACCCAAAAATTGTGTGTCAACAAGTCTTGATGCAGCCTAAAGTTTGAGAACTGCTGCGTATACCTACAGTTGGCCAACTGTGTTCCACATATCCAGTCTGGCTTATCCTTGTTTTGTAAGTAAAGTTTTGTTGGAACACAGCATACTTACTCATTTTCCTGGTGTGTGTGAATACTCTTTCCCCACCCCATGACTGCTTTTGCATTACAGAAGCAGAGCCTATAAAGCCTAAACTATTTCTTTTCTGACCCTTTACATAATATATCTGCCAACCCTTGCTCTTTGTCACTGGAGTAAGGAAAGGAAGAAGAGAATAAATTAAGAAAAGGAAATATAAAATATCAATGAATAAATCAGCATATTTGTACATAATTCAGAATTTTCTTACTGTGGTAGATAGCCGCTTGGATTTCAAACAGGATGTCCAACGTGTTCCTTTAGTGGAGCTTGTATAGTGCAGTTGTCAGAAGCTTTGCAGCTTACAAGTAATTTTATCATTGTAATTGTTGGGTCATGGTCTAGCCACTACAAATGTATTAAACAGAAAATCATTACATTTCGTTAATCTGGAACAACTATCTGGGGGGGCCGGCATCAGCTCTTCTTCCTGGTGCTTATCAGTGGAGCAGAGGCAGAGCAGTCTTTCAGTGGAAATTATTGGTAGCCAGAAGGATATTTAGAAGCCATTGACTCTCTCAGGACTTAAGTTTTTCGCTATTAATGAAGGAATGGTAACAGATTATTCCTTCTCATCCTCTTGGGTATAAAAACTGTCAGTGCGTATGGAAAACAGACGGTAAATATAGAGTTGTGTGTGGTTTTACCCTTTTTTCCTTGCTTAAGGATTTTAAGAAATGACAGTGGCTTTCCATAGGGAAAAACCACTGTTTATCATTGCTTGATGATGTAGCTCCTAACCCACTAATACGTGTTTCTTTCCCTAGATACCTAATTTAAATTGGAGGGAGTTCTGGTAGCTTAGTGGATAGACAGTTGTGCGGCCAACCCTAAAGCAGGCAGCTGCTACGAGGAAGAAAGATGGGATATTTCTTTCCATGGGATTTACTGTCTCTGACAGCCTGCTGCAGAGTCAGCTATGAGTCAGTTCCAATTTGATAGCAATGAGTTTTTGTTGGTACATTGGACAGTCTTGTAAACAACAAAAATTCACTCTGTATACCTGTGTGTCCGCTATTAGTTGTTAGTCAACAACACATAACAGCAACATACCTGTATTTTTTTAACATTTATAACAGAAAGATCACTTTACATTTAGATTGTGCTACTTCTAATTTTTATCTAAGCAGCCCTTGTTGGCACAGATAGTTAAACACTCAACTGCTAACCAAAAGTTGATCAAATTCACCCACTGTTTGCATAGAGAAATGACCTGGTGATATGCTTCCATAAGATTCTAGGCAAGGGGAGCTCTGGTGGCCTAGTGGCAAGAAGCTGTACTGCAATTCCAGAGGTACGCAGTTCGAATCCACCACATCCTCTGCTGGACTATACCAGTCGGATCCAATTTGACGGTACACACTCACAAAAAATAATAAAAGAAATTAAAAAATTTTTAAAAAACTTCTAGGCAGAAACTCTAAAAACAACAACAAAAAAATCACGCAAAGCAGTTCTGCTCTCTTATGTGGGAATCTTATGAGTTGGAATTGGCTAAGCAGCAGTTTTGATTGTGAGTAAATTGGAATGAGAATGAATGACATTCTTAACCTGTTGAGCTTTAATAACAGTATTTGTGAGAAGACTCTGGTTATATGATAATGGATTTAAAGGGTTGACTCTAAAAGATATCAAGGATGTCATGGTGTGTCTGCCTGAAGGAATGAATGTGTATTTGAGGAAAGATGTGGTTTCAGTTTTGTTTTTCAAAAGGAATAGGATAAAATTTATGTATTTTTGCACTCAAAGGATGCTGAGAAGTGTTTTTGTTAATGATCCTCTGCTTTGCTTCTCTCTTTTTTTTAAATTTTATTAGTTTTGATGAACATGTACAGAGATTTTGGGTTTTCATTCATTCATTCATTCTTTTAAAGAACATATTTATATCCTTTCTACTTTGTGGATTTTGCTTAAATTCTTATTTTAGTTCCGTTTCCTGAACTCTATTTCAGATAGAGGAGGATTGGATTGGATTGGATTGGATAATCTTAACATTTGTTTTCAGTATGAAAATTCTGTGATTCTGTAATATTTTTAAAATACCAAAAGGAAAATTTTGCCCATTTCTCTATGTTAATTAATTATGCATAATTGCAACATTATGGCATCTATCAGGGTGCATCTGTCTTGAAATTATTATGAGTAATGCCTGAAGTAGGGGAACCCTGTAAATTCCTAAAAAAACAAAACAGGACCCAAAAAAGTATAACTGGCAGTTCTCATACATTAAAATCAGTTCTTTTTCAAAGTTGACAACACCTTGTGAGGAGCAGAATCAACAAAATATCCCCTTAACAGGTATTTGTGAGTTTTGCAAGCAAATTGATTGTGATGAAGCTTTTTGCTTTTTCCCTTTTTGTGTAGTTGAAACTAGCCTATCTGGTGACTTACAGGAGTAACAAACACAGCTACTTACTTTTAGCCTTCCTTTGTTCTGTATATAATCTGTCAACTCAATGGTTATTGTCTTAAAGCTAGTCCTTCTTTTCCTTTTACCTCGTAGGAATCATTGAGTTGAAGTCACAGACTGCATGACATTTAATTCTGATTTTCTGATTATTAGGTGAACACGATTGAAGTTTAATTCTATTTTCAGAAAGAAGTAGCTGATAAAATCAGTGTTGAAAAAAAATTTAACATTTTTTAAAAAGAAAATTAGTCGGTTTTAGGTATTTTTTTTCTTACTCTTTACACAAAATTGAGAATTCCTGACTCTAAGGAAAGCTGTAGTTCAAAATTCTCTCAAATAAATTTTCTTCTTGTACTTTTGCATCTCTCTTTTTACTTCTTTAACCTCATGAAAACCTGAATCTCCCCCAAAGATAGTGAGGAGATACCCCTGTTATCAGCTCTTTTCTCCTGATAACTAGAAATTGTATTGTTCAATAGTTTCTACATTCAGTTGATCACCTTTCTTGAGAATGGGAACAAATATGGACTCTTTTATTCCATCGGCCAGTCAGCTGTCCTCCATATTTCCTTGTATAGACTAGTGAGTGCATCCAAGGCTGCATCTGTTAATTGAAACAAGTCGATTGGTATCCCATTGATTCCTGGGGCTTTTTTACCAGTGCTTCATTGCAGCTTCTGTTTCCCCCTTCATTACCTTTTGCTCCTGTTCATATAGTACTCCCTGAAATTTGTCAGTTTCAATCAGTTATTTCTGGTACAGTGATTCTGTGTATTTCCTTCACCTTCCCCCACCCCACCTTTTTTTTAAATGCTTTACAGGTCATTTGGTATATTGCCCATAGCATCTCTTCTCAGTATTTGTGACACTAGTCTTAATCTTTTCAGTTCTCTCAGCTTGAGATGTGCAGAGTGAGTTCTTCCCTTTTTATTCTCCAGTTCCAGCTCTCTGCGCATTCCATTATAATACTTTGTCCTCTCGAGCTGCCCTTTGAAATAGTCTGTTCAGGTCTTTTACTTTGGCATGTTTTCCTTTTCTTTTGGCTTCTCGATGCTCCAGTGCAATTTTTAGAGTTTCTTCTAATATCCATTTTTTTTTTGAGGACTAGTATTGAATATACCATGGAATGCTAGGAGAACAAACAAGTTTGTCTGGGAGAGGGTGAAGCCAGGATGTTCCTTGGAGGCAAAGATTCTGAAGCTTCATCTGATATACTTTGGACATGTTGCAAGGCGGGATGAGTCCTTGGAGAGGGACGTCATGCTTGGGAGGGTGGAGGGATAGCACAGGTGAGGAAGACCCTCCATGAGATGGATTGATTCCATCACTGGGGAAATGGGGATAGGTGTGTTGGACACAATAAGATTGGCACAGGATAGAGTAGGGTTTAGGGCTGTTTTACATAGGGTCGCTATGAGTCAACAGGCAACTCAACGGCACATAACAACAATAAGAAGTATGTGTGATTCAGGCCATAGTCTTTCTGATTACTTGCTATGCACCTGAGAGCTGAAAGTGAATACGGATGACTGAACATTCCAAGAAAACAAATATGTCTTGGAGGAGGTGCAGCCAAGAGTGCTCTTTGGACGCAAGAATGATCAGCCTTCACCTCACATACTTTGGGCATGTTGCTAGGAGGGGCTATTCCTTGGAGAGAGACATGATGCTAAGAATGGTGGAGAGTTGATGACGGAAAGGAAGACCCTCGACCAAGTTTGACATGGTGACTACAACTGTGGGCTCTTGTGTGTCAGAAAGTGTGAGATGGCATAGAACAGAACAGGATTCAGATCTTTTGTTCATAGAATCGCTACTAGGAGTCATTTTTTACTTGATGGCACCTAACAAGGCTAGAAATGATAGAATTGTCATGATGAGATTTTTCTGTCTTTGGTAATATTTCTCTGCTTTGAATAGGCCTCTTCCTATTCTTAGTACATACTTTCTAATTGTTCTACCTTCTTCGGAGTGCCTCTCTCTCACACACACACACTGTCCCTCACTCTCTCTCATATTGCTGTCAAACCAGAGCCAAATCATACCTGAATCTCCATTGAGTTTCCAAAGCTGTAAATTGCATAAGACATTTCTCATCTTTTTCCCTTGGAGCAGCTGGTGTATTTGAATCTCCAGAAAGATGTGGCCTTGGATTATCAA